AGTGGCTCAAAACCACCAGTTGTTCTGCTGCAGACCATTGTTAACAGTCTGCTTCACAAAGGGTTACCTTCTTGGGAATCCGATGGGCAACTCTACTGGTCATACAAGGTGGCTATAAGCAGATCTTAACTCCTCTGCACACAATTTTCTTTCAACTGCTTCTCTTAAGGGGCCCTGGTGTAGAAGTGGGTTATGTGTTAGGCTGCTAAACACAAGGTCAGCAGTTTGAAACATCAGCCACTCTAGGAGAAAACCCAGGCTTTCTAATCCTGTAGCGTTAGAGTCTGGGAAATTCATTGGGCAATGCAATTCTGTCCAACAGGGTTGCTATGTGTCAATCAACTGGATGGCCTGGGGGGCCACAAGTTTGTTTTGTTGTTTACACTTCCTCTTCCTGCCCCTTAAAAGTGTGTGTTTGGATGAAATATTATGTGCAGGTCTCCTCATGGACCACTCTCACTGTCTTGTATTTAAATGTAAAGAGCCTTTTGCTTACAATATCCCCCTTCTGCCTGTTGTTCCAATCTAGTCTGGAAAAGTCTCCCATGACCAGACAAGTGGAGCTAGGGGCCTCTCCTCCTTGTCCCAAGTGCTACTGTGTTCATAATCGAGTGTCAACTACTTGAAAGCCAGGCAGAGAGAATATCCTACTCAGTGTTTTTTAATGCCAGGCCAGGTCAGTGCCAGACTCACTACCAGTAGGGTGAAACTAGGATCTCTAGTGCCCTGAACAACTTCCCTTGTTCTATGGGCAGAATAATGCTCTACTCACATTTCTTTGCTGAACAAGCCTTCTTTAATCACATTCTAGAAGGCTACAGGTAATGTGAAACTAATCTTTACTACTGCTGGCCCAGAATGTGAGAAAAAATCTGACATATCTGCTTAACAAAAACAAAGGTAGAAGGCTAGAAAAATAAACACAAAATGTTAAGCTATCAAGAAATACAAGCAGGCATGAAATAAACTTTAATTCAGCTCTCCCTCCCCTAACTACTATCTGTTCATTAAAAGACAGCTAAATTCTGACTACAACAAATTCAAGGTTACGCTGGCTTTATGTCTGAAGGGCAACGAGGAATATACATTATGCCACATTGCTGGGCCCATGTATACCTTAAGCCATCATCAAATCCACTGCCATTGTTCTAATCATGTTCACACTACCCTACAGGACAGGGAACTGCCCCCAAAGATTTCCAAGGCTTCACAGAAGTGGATGGTCACCTTTCTTTCTCCTTTCTGTAAGCAGCAAAGTTTAATCACTGCGCCACGGGGGATCCTTTCAATGTCTACCTTCCAAAAACCACGCTCACTGCCATGGAGTCAAGTCCAATTAATAATGACCGTGGTAGCACAGATCCACAAGGTCAGTACTTCCAAACCATGAGCCACTCCTCAGAAGATAAGGCTTTCTACTCCAGGAAAGGCTTAGAGTCTCCTATGGTTAGCATGGGTGAAGAAGTTTTTGCATTGAGTTCATTTTAATGGTGGTGGAACAACTTGGAGAAGGCTAACAGGAATGGTCGTACAACACGAAGACTAAATCAATAGCACTGAATTATACATGGAGAAGTTGTTGCACTGGTGAATGTTTTGTCTATTTTTGTCAAAATGGAAAGGAAATCACACGAATAACAATGAGTATGGGGGGAGAAATTACTCTGGGAAACCCACAAGGGCAGCTTTACTGTAGGGTTACCCTGTCCTGTAGGGTTGCCGTGAGTAGGAATCAACTCCATGGCAATGCGTTTGGCTTATAGAACAGAGTAGAACTGCCCCTTTGGGATCCCAAGGCTGTAAATCTTTTTTTAAAAATAGTTTTATTAGGGGCTCATACAACTCTTATCACAATCCATACATACATCAATTGTGTAATGCACATTTGTACATTCATTGCCTTCATCGTTCTCAAAACATTTGCTCTCCACTTAAGCCCCTGGTATCAGGTCCTCATTTTTTCCCCTTTCCCCGCTCCCTCCTCCCTCATGAGCCCTAGATAATTTACAAATTATTTGGTCATATCTTGCCCTGTCCGACATCTCCCTTCACCCACTTTTCTGTCGTCCGTCCCCCAGAGGTCACATGTAGATCCTTGTAATCGGTTCCCTCTTTCCAAC